CTTGCAGGTAAGAATAATTCAGTATATTTAAATTAAGGGGTCCATGAACAGTTTTCATTGTTGTTTTGGTGCTTTAAGTAGGTTTTGAGCACCACAACTCTGTATTGTAATTGCTCATAGATAGAACGCGATCAGAGACAACTGTGGTGGAAGTTTGTACATGAAACAAAGATCGGTATTGTGCGCAGGAGTGACAATATGTTGTGAAAAGTAATTATTTTATGATTTTGATGGTGAGACGGGTAAATTATTGAAGTGTGGCGTGAGTTAAGTGGCGCACGTGGAGTTCGCTGGTGTCCGCCATCTTATGTCAGTTGTTTGCCTCTGTGCTTTAGAGTTACCAACAACTCAAACGAGGTGATATGCTCGCTTATGAAACCAAAGAGTTGTAAAATGTGACATAAGAAAACATTAAAGTGTCATGGTTTATTTAGAGTAAATAAGTCATGCTTGAACAGAGAATGTATGTACTCTGGAATGTGGTTAAACAGAAAGAATAATGTAAAGGTTCAAATTAAGTTCAACATTGTTATCTTTGATGTTATTGAGCAAAATTCATGTTCATATGCTTGATATGCAAACTGTATTTGCAAGTGAAGATGTTTACATTTGTTCGTGAACAACAGGGAATAAATTATAGAGCATTTAGAAAATGGTATACTGAGTTTATGATACAGTAATACAGCAGTTCATGCGGAGACGAGCAGATAGATAACACAGAATTGCGATGTTCCATATGTGATTGACTTTATACTGTCATATCTTTTCTTGCAGATTTGCATGCAAACAATCTTATTAAATGTGTTGCACCAGAAACGATGCCTGCCCATTTCTATATGTGCAACACTCGCTAGGAAAAAGGTGGATAAGCGGGATATTCCATGACTAGCTGTGCATTTAATGATTCGCGTAGGGTGGTTCTTTGCCTCCACGTCATGCATTAAAATTATTTAATGCACAGCTAGCCATGGATTATCTCTTACTTATGTTCCACAGAAGAAAGAAAGTCATACAGGTTTGAAACGACACGAGGGTGAGTAAATGATGACAGAAATGTCATTTTTGGGATAACTATCCCTTTAATACCCATTTAAAACCCATTAATTTCATTGCATTATTTATGCAATTGTAATTGCATTAAATGCATTCATGCTACCTCTGAGCTGCAATAAACAGTCTGTAAAATATATCTAAATGACTATTCAGATGTAGCTTCTGAAAAAAAGAAAGAAAGAAAGAAAGAAAATAAATAAATAAATAAAACAAATCATGGCTGTTGTAGCCTAAAAGTATGTGTAGTAAATTCTGTGCTGAATCCAGTAAAATTTTTCTTACTAAAGGTAATTTTTGTAGTCTATTCGATGTTTTCTCCTTAACACAATAATTGCTAAGCCATTTGATGGTTAGAGAGTCGGACTTATAACCCGAAGGTTGTGGGTTCGAGTCTCATGTCCGGCAGGAATTGGTGGTGGGGGGAGTGAATAACCAGCACTCTCTTCCACCCTCAATACCACGACTGAGGTGAGACCCTTGAGCAAGGCACCGAACCCCCAATTGCTCCCCGGGTGCCGCAGCAATATGGCTGCCCACTGCCATGGGTGTGTGTTCAAGGTGTGTGTGTTCTCTACTGTGTGTGTGCACTTGGATGGGTTAAATTTTGTTTAATTATTTTACCAATATTTAAATCTACACCTTGGCTACACCGTGTGTATGTGCGCAAATATCCGTCGGTGTTAGAGGGCAGTTGTGGGAACACATCTCACACAGAACAGTGTAAGATACTTGATTCTTTTTTGCTAAACAAAACTTGTATCAGTAACAAACTCTACTGATTTTTTTAATTGTAATGTTAAAAGCTGAAAAACTGAAAAAAATGTTTGCCGGATTTTAACAATAGCTGTTTGATATATTTTGATATTAACAGTGCTCATGTGTGTGACCAGTTCACAACCCTAACTGAGGTTCAGTTAAACAAAAAACACTGATGTATACTAAAAAAAGATTCCCGTCATTTTGACTGTAAAAAAAAAAAAAAAAAAGAATATATTTAAACC